GTGTGTGTTGGCTGTGGGCACAAATTACGAGTGTCGTAAGGATGGGGAAGAAAAACAAAGGACACGAGAAAATCAATTTCCCAACACGAACGGGGAAGTTCACTCTCTAATTTGCGTTTAGTGCATTTCCGTGTCGTGCTTAAATGGCAAGAATTAAAGCCAGAAGCTGTCAAGGAATAGGACTTAGCCAGACAGACAGCGGCAAAGTTGGAGCGGAGCTGTGACCAAGCTGCCACAGCGACGGCAGGATGCTGCTGGGATGCAGCAGGGTAGCCGAACTGAAGCCGTAATCCCATCAAATCTATCAAAATCGTTTACGCAAATCGGAAGAGCAGAGAACGCATTTAATGGAGAGCTTTTCCTATGCCACCAACGCCACTATTCCGCCTCTCAGTCCCTTCTGTTCGGCGTGCTCCCCTTCAACATCATTCACTCGGAGAGCTGCAAATCCAATAAGGGATGAGCCGGCACCAGCTTGGTGAAAGTTTATTAAAAAAAAGGAAAACTCTTCGCACCCAAAGTGGCGCCAAACTGACAGCTTCGGTCGCAACCCCGGCCCCAACCCAGACCCATGCCACAAGCACCCACGCTGCAAGGCCCCCAGGATGTCAGGCAGTCAGTCAATTGTAGTTTCCGTGGCTGTTGCTCAAAGTTTTAATTACACAGTCCTTGCCGACTCCCAGGAGGAGCCAGAGGAGGGAGCAGCCTGGTTGCCTGGTTGCCTGGGCAACAACCGTCTACAAGGCCACTAGCATTTTTGGGCTGCCAATGAAAGTGCAGGAGCAGGGGCAGGAGCAGGAGCAGGGGCCTGGATAGTATGAACATCGAGCATCTCTGGTCCTGGTCCTGGTCCTCGTCCTGGTCCTGTCTGCGTCTGTTGCTCCATGCCCTGGCAGATGCTGCTCCTGGCCCCTGTTCACGTTTGGCTTTGGTTGTGGTCTGTTTTGCATGTGCATCCTGTGTGTTCAGCGACAAGGATTTATCACCGCGAGCACATGCTCACCCACGCAGGGCGGGCAGAGCATATCCGAAGATCCAAAGATTGGCAAACAGCAAAGAGGAGTTATTCCGTTAATTATGTTCTGGCGAATTCACAAAGCATTTTATGAGCGACCGCTGTCGTTCTGTGTGAGTGGAAATTCCTTCAAAGCTTAGCCAGTTGTCAAATTAATTCTTCAATTAAAGCAAAGCATTTTCGAGTCGTTTCTGTTGGGTTTGCAGTTTCTCTCTTCACTCCACGCTCTCTGCCACACACCAAACGACGAATTTAAACCAACTTTTAAGCAGTCTTTTTTCACTAACCCATTATGTGTATTGGAAGCAACCTCCGAACAGTGCCAACTGCACCACCCAGACCGACCAGTAAAGAGTCATTTGGCGAGACGCTGAGACTCGAGTCGACTTTTTGCCAGCCAAATACGTGCGGGGAGGGAGGGGAGGGGAATGGCTGCCAGGGTGTATGTCAGTTTGCCGCGTGGATGATGGAGTGCGCCATTGTTGCATTTTAATTGAAATTTCTGTGTGAACTTGGCGCGACACCCGTGCAGCAGCAGGCAGCGGCAGCGGCAGGCAGCAGCAACACTAACGAGAGCCCAGAATGATGGCATAAAAAAGGAGCAAATAAAACAGTGCCGGGTGCAATCACAAGGCAAACAAGGACAATGCCAAAGTGGCAATACATAATAATGAATGAATAAAGCGGACAGCGCAATAAAAGCAATAAGGAGTCGCCCCTAGAAGTACGAGGACTCGCAGTAGAGTAGAAGAGTCTGCCCAATCTGTCACCGATTTCCCCTCTCTGTGGCTCACCGGACCGATTCGTGTGTTTGCTGGCAAATAAAGGGTATTCAAAATTCAACCTAGCTGTTTATAAATTTGCAGATTCCCCTCCGCTTTTTGGGTCGTGGGCCGAAATCCGTCGCATTTTTGCGGCTCAACGCAAATATAATAATAAATTTTGCATATTGCTGTTGCCATTATTTTTCATAAATGGAAACTGTTCTGTTGTCAATGGTTCGGCTACAGTCGCCTCTTTTTCGCTGTCCGCGATGCTCTCGCCGTGCCCTTTGTTGCGGTCCTTTTTATGGGCATGGCATGGCATCCTGTTTGAGTTTTTGTCACCGTTTATTGTTTCCAGGACACCAACAACACCCCCACCCACCTCTGAGGTGGCGGAGCAGGAGACGGCTCCCGTTGTGGTCACTTTATTGTTTGCCGGATACGTTCCGCCACATTTCGAAAAGTGCCCCCAAATGCGATGGATGTCGGAGGGGGGACCAGGGCGCTGGAAACCACGTAATTTGCCGTCTGATGAAGATTTACGACATGGAGAAGCCGCCGCAAAAATAAACGCCAAACACACGAAGGCCATATAAAGCAACAAAGCGCAAGGTTACTCACCCCACAGACACAGCACACAGAGCAGAGCAGGAGGGGGCCAGTCGGGGCCATGATGGATGTGCATGCTGGTCGGGTGAATGCGAACCCTATCCGAGGCTCCTAGGCGGGCCTCCCCTTGGCCATTTATGTAAATTTGCTAAGAAAATTAAGCTCAAAATGAAGAGATTTGTCTCGGGTTTATTAGCAAAAGATGTGCGAGCTGAGAGCCGTGGCAAGGAGCTCATCTAGGAGCCAGGCCAAGCATCCCGGCTACATTTTTGCCCGTCCAAATGGGCCTCCAGGGGCAGGGCAAGTTCTGGTAAGTACCAACCAGGCCAGCACATTCTATGCAATTCCAGGGCGTTAACGAGGGGCAAGAGCTGTGCTCAAATTAGTGGGCGTGGTGGTGCATGGTAGTCCGAAACAGAAGAGTGAAGGCACATCCCACACATCCCACATATACATGTACATGTACGTATGTGTGTACGAGCGCCATGTGAGTATCTGTTTTTAATGGCTGCTCTATTAGGCGAGGAGGCTGCTTCATCCTGATTAGGAGGTGGCCCAGGATAAGGCTGTTTCGGCCCCACCATCTTTCACTGCTTATGAGTACTCTTCCGATGCTCCGAATGCTTGTCCAATAAATAATTCATGTCTGCTCAGAAGAGCAACCCCACAAAGGAGTGAGTTCCAGTTCCAGTGCCCATCCGACCCATCCGACCCATCCGCCTCAGCAGAGCCGGACACGAGGCTAATGCGGATGCAGACAGAGGAAGCTGTGTGTGGAAACGGAAACGTAATGCATTTCACGAGACCAAATGAATGGTTTAATGCATGCATACTCGTACATGGCATGTGGCCAGCAGAAGCAGAGGCAGGGCCAGGGCGTAGGAGGTGATTACCAGAATCTGGGATAATACTTGCTTGAAAGGACGAGGCGAGTGGGTTGGGCTGTGGCATTTTGTGCGTAGGTGACCTCAATGGCTCCATTAACAATTTACCAATGACTGAGCTAAAACAAAGGACGAGTTTGAATTTAATCTTTCAATTAGGGAATTTGTTTGCCATTAGTAATGCTACAATAGAGGGGTCTTAATGCAATCGAAGCTATCCAATTTAATATTAATGATATATTTGCAACGCCCTTTCCGCTCAGTAAATATGCATCTTTGATGCGCTTTTATTATGCTGAAACAGGTCATCTGCCCTAGCTATTATCTGCCCATTTGCAATGTTTGGATCATTTCTGATACCAATAGTTGCCCTGTTAATTAATACAGCAGAAAGTACGAAATCATATGCCAACTTCATATATAATACGAATATTGTAGTCCAATTTAAGGGTTTAAATGGTTTATGAAGTAGATCTCACTCGATAAATGGTACATTGTTCCCACAGTCGTAGTAAATGCACTCCTCTAGGGTCTATAGCCTAGAGGAAGGTCTGTATTTCCCAATGATCCATCCCCCTTCCTGCTTGAGTTAAAGAACTGTAACATATAACGGAGAGAGGGGCTGTTCAAATAACTGAGCGGGGTTCGCGATGGGAATCGGCTTTTCTCTGGTCGGCTGGGGTGGGTTATTAGGAAGAGGACGTCAGTTATGGTTCTCACAAGAAACAAGAAATCTAAACAAGAAATTAAGTTCGCGTACGGAAGGATGAGAACGGGAGAGGAAGACTACAGTACAGCAGACCATCGATGATCGATCTTGGGCTGCATGTGCTCCGCGGCACGGATGCTCACCCTACCATGATCCCTTTTAGGCCAGTTTGTCGCCAGGGATCCCTCCCAAAATCGTTCAGGCATCAGACTGTGGCATCCGGTACAGGCATGGGTCCAACCAAAAAGAGTTTTAATTTATTTTACTAACGCTATTTTTATGGACTAAATGAAAAATTCTAACTTTCACCATGATACTTCATGTTCTGTTCCTAATACTATTTCAGGCGTCGAAAATTGCCTAAGGTGCGAGGAAGTAATAGGCGGAGCAACTTCAACTTAGGTCTAGGAATATGTACATGAAAATGATTATAAAGAATTTATTTAACAAAAATGAATATGCAATAAAATCTAATATAATATATAATATACGGTAATACAGTAAGAGCCCAAACCCAATAATATTCAAGTTAATTCAGGCTAACATCAGATGGAAAACAGTGTGTGTAAGTATGGGGTACCAAAGGTGTCTTCATGCCCATATAAGTTATAACGGGTTCATAATCAAAACTCTCTTTCTCCTCTTTGCTCTGCCCACTCTCTCTACCACAAGCACAGACAAAAAAAAAACAATCTTAGGGGGTAAAGTTTGTTTCAATCACTCCATTCACGGTATGGAACTTATATGCCAATGGGTTTGGCGCACTTCCGGTAACTTCCGCTCACTTTAGCGATCGGAGATGTCTCTCCGCGAGCCCGGCGGGTGCAGCAGCCTTGCGGCTGATTAGAGTTTCCCTCGCTTACTGCAGCTTTGCGCTTAGCTCCAGTACGGTTGATAATGGGTGCTCTCTATTTAGAGCTTTCTCATCTCTCTATATTGGAAACTATAGCCCAGGTGCAATTCTGCGGTATTTAAAGTAAAACAGAAAAAGATCCAAGCCGAAGGCCGCGTAAGTGGGGGAGTCGTGTGTGTGTGTGTGTGAGCGCACACTAGTGACGAAATATTTATTTATTATCACACGGAGAGAGTATGGGGACTATCTACATTCGTAAAACATAGCATGAGTGGGCTTACAGGATCCGATATCTACTTGGCTAGGTAATTACACAGACAGTAAGTGGTAGATTTGAGCAACATTGGGTTCGTTGAGTAAATTCATTGAGGTTGTGTCCCGCGCAGACGTTACACCCGAGATCAGTGCTGCTTGATGAGAACGTGGCCGGCGTGCCGCTTGTATAAGACCAGCGAGATGTTGACCAGGAAGGGAGCAGCTAGCCAGAACATCCGCGTGCCAATGCCCGTGTCCTCGCGATGGAAGATGCCCGAAGCAGCCCCGCGGCCCGTGTTGCAGAAGGATTCCTCGCAGCAGGAGGTGCAAGCGTAGAGCTTGGTTCGCTCCCCAATAATGATGCAGCCGGGCTCACAGTTGGCGACACATCGACGATCTAGGGACCACATCTTTGGGGAGCTAGTGGAGTTTTCCGTGCTGGTGGTATACGAGAAACGCTTGACCTGAGGGAATATACGCGTAGTGCTGGCTCTCTTCTGGGATCATCACTCACCATGCAGATGAACTCCTCGCCTTGGCACTTCTTGAACAGAGCCGAATCATTGCGCACCGCCACGTCCACGCAGGACTCGCCGTCGTCCATCGTGTGGCAGGCGTAGCACCAAAGCTTGTTCACCCGCTCAATGGCAGCCGCAGTGCGGTGGATGTGTCCCGTCAGGGACGTGCTGGACCCAGGGCCGGGCGAACTGGTGCCCGTGACTGTCCGGGAATGCAGAGATTTGGGAGATTATTGATTTTTCTCATCTGCGGCTGCTGGCCTGGCCACCAAGGCCACACCGCACTCACCATTGTTGACGCAGGCCGTGAACACAATGGACGAGATGGTCAGGAGGAAGTAGGCGAGCGTGAGCAGCACTCGGCACATGATGCAAGCCACCAGCTGCGTTTTCTAATCTACGCTCGAGTCCCAAATGCTCGCCAAGTGTCGCTTGTTTATTGTGTGCGAAACATTCAGCTGGTCCATGTGTGGCCAGGACGAATGACAGGTGGAGACGCACTGGACGAGGACATGCGCAGAGGATACAGGCCATAGCCGAGACACAAACCCCGCAAGCAACTCGATTACGTGCCATCATTCGATAAATGATGCGACAGGGAAAGTTGGAAATGGAAACTGGCAAAAGGGCTTAAAGAACAAAGATCAGTGATCGCAGTTGGCATTTGGAAATAGGTAAGGACAGTTGTATGGGACAGCTGGGCGACTTTTACACTTCCAGAATGCCGCGATCTATTAACACGAACTCTTTTAATACGAACTCGGCCTTACACGGCTATAAAATTGCTCCCTTTTCCCTTTTAACACGATCAAAGCATCGTTCTAACACGATTGCAAAATATGGAAATTAATTTATTTTTTGTTATTATTATTTTGTTATTATTTTATGAGGCCTTACAAGGGAAATTGTTTTTTTTTTCATTATTTATTTTCTTTTTTAACTGAACCTTTAGTTTCGTCTTCGGCCCAACGGCCGAAATGGAATCGGCAAACAAAACGGTCTTGTAATTTTGGTTTTACCGAATAGTTTTAGTGCTTTATAAATTCTGATCCGCTCATCGAAAGACGACTTCAGTGAGTTGGAAAAAATACTTTCACCTTATAAAGATTGCTGATTACTGATTTTCTTGATAAACCAGAAGAGCCAACACAAAAAAACATTTTGGTTAATTAAAAAACAAATTTGAACAATAAAACAATTTTTGGCCTAAATTTTTTAATTCTAGGCATGTAAGCCCTTATTTTGTACCGAATCCATATATTCGCTGAAAACGCTTCCGCTTAACACGAAGTTTTCCAGGAACCTAAAACCCTTGTGGGCAGGGTGTACTAAATATTTCTCACATACTTTATTTGTTAAAAGATATACTGATGAATCGATGATATACCATCTCTACAATCAGTCAAGATAATATCAAAAACACGTTATATTTTAAATTAGATATCGAGAGGGTTGGAAAGAGGAAAAAGAAATAGCGTTACGATAGAGCCAGTCAATACTGTACTAAATTTCCAAACGCTTCGCTGTCAATTTTTAAATTAGTTATCGAAAGGAGTGGAAAGAGGAAATATAAATAACGTTACGATAGTGATATTTTCATGTATCGATCTGTTGGTACCATCCCTAGCATCAGTGAAGAATGTACTAAAATTGCCATACGCATCGCGTTCATTTTTGAAATTAACAAGCGAAAGGGGGTGGAAAGGGGAATGCGCAATAACGCTACGCTTGTTTGTTTCCCATCGTCCCTGCAGAACAATTTAAATAATTGTACAGTATAAAATAAGTGAAAAGTGCAACAAACACAGTGACAGTGTGCGTTATTTACATTGCAAAAATCAAAACAAATCCCAAAATGCCCAGGCCAAAGGCGAAAGCGAAGGCAAAACCCAAAGCGGCAGCGTCCAAAAAGAAGGCGGCCACGACGACCCAGAACAACAATGCCGTTTCGGCGGAAAAGGAAAACGAGATGGAAATCAGTGATGCGACCTCCGTTTCCAGTCGGGAACAATTCAGAGGTGGCGCGGAGTCCATGTACGCAATAATGCGTCACGCTGAACTCAAGGAGTCGCTCCACCAGCGCTACGAAAAGGAGCTGCAGCAACTGTACTCGAAGGTAGGAATAGCGTCACTTGGCAGCGCTGGCTCAGTCGATTAGAACTCATTCAAATTCAACTATGAATTTCCTTGCAGATGGGACACCAAGCGTTTCTGAGCACATTCATCAATGTGTTGAAGACTGTACTCGAGGCCGAGGAGAGCAACGAAAATGGAAACATGGCCCTGTCCTTTTGCGCCAAGATCGTGGCCAGCTTCGAGTCGGAGAAGACGCATCCGGTGCTGGCCGAAACATTCCACTGGCTATTGACAGTAAGCCTTAACTGTACTTTCCCTGGATGCATTTCCATTAAACGCGCTTGTTTGTTTGTTTTTCCCAGATATATTCGAGCAGCCCTTACGTTCGCTATCGGATTTGCTACTTTGTGAATCTGATACTTGAGAAACTGGGACCCAATGCGGCACTCGACGACACGCAGTGCGACGAGATTCTCGAGACTATGCTGGAGCGCGTGAAGGACGTGTCGGCCAGTGTGCGCAAGCAGGCAGTCCTGGCCATGCAGCGTCTTCAGATTCCAGACAATCCCAGCGATCCAGTTGTCTGCGCCTATCAGTTCCATCTCTCCTCGGATCCCTCGTCCACCGTGCGCCAGTGCATTATCACCTGCATGGGCCGAAACTACATCACCGTGCCCTACATACTGCAGCGTCTGTGGGACGTGGACGAGAAGGTGCGCCGCCATACGTACGTCAACATGTGCAACTATCCAGTGCGCTCCTACAAGGTGGCGCAGCGCCTGACCTTGCTGGAGCAAGGTCTGAACGATAGCTCGGCCAACGTTAAAAAGACTGTGGTGAACATCATGCTCAAGGCCTGGATCGACTCCTATCAACAGAACTATTTAGCTCTGATAGCGGCCCTCAAGCTGGACTCCAGCGAGGAGGAGCTGATGCGCTTCCGCTGCGTGACCAAGCAAATGTTGCGTGTGATCTTTGAGCAGACCGACAACCAGCAACTGATGGCCCAACTGCCCCTCAGCGACGACTGTGAGCTGCATCGATGTGTGCCGCTGGAAAATCTCAACGTTGAGCTGTTGCTCTATTGGCAGTGCCTCGGCGAGTATCTGGAGAGCACGCAGGCGAACGAGAGCGACCAGGTTCTGCCCGAACTGAGTGTCTTCTGTAGCTATGTGGACAAGTGAGTTTTAGCTGAATCAAACTCAATCCAAACAATTTATAATTGGTATCCATTGCAGGTTCTGTCAGTTTCAGAAGCCGGACATGGACAAGTTTGCCCAGATAGAGTTCCAGAGCATGCTGCTCTCGCTGGTGGAAATCCTGGACTCGTACGACCTGGGCGACGAGATCGGGCGTAGTAATATGAAGATGTTGATCAGCAATCTATTGAAGGACTGTCTGCTCGACCACAAGATCGTCTGCGTGCTGGTGCGTTGCATGGAGAAGCTGATCACCGACCTGAACGACCGGATGCAGTTCTTCATTGAGATCATCTACGAGACGTGCGACCTGAATACCAAACAGAATGAGCTGGTGCACGATCGCAGCCTGATCAATAAGTTGCTGGACGACTTGGACACACCCTCGAAGATGAAAATCTCTTCCCTGAAGGTGAAGATCCTGGAGCTGGAGGAGCAGGAAGATAACTTTGTGCGCCAGAAGGAGTATATACGGGCGCAGTCCGTCAACGAAGAGAAGATGGCCGTCACAGAGGAGTACACGGAGCTGATCAAGCCGCTGCTGGTGAAGCATGGTGTTATGGAGATGCCCGCCCGACCGAAGCTCTCCAAACAGGAGCGTGTCCTCAAGGGCCTGTACACCTCATACTATATGGTGGCCTCTCCGCATGTACACAAGCTCACGCCCAGCATCTGTAAGCTGTACAAGGACTTCATCTGCCGCCATCTTCCCTCCTCGGAGGTGGACATCTTCGAATGGGCCATCAAGTGTGGCACCACCTACAGTATGTTCTATGAGGCATATGCCAAGGAGGTGTTCGAGGTGGTTCTCGACCAGTTCTGCAACAACAACGTTGTCCGTCTCTGCGAGACCTCTGCCAGGTGTATTCTCGAGCTGCTGGATCACTATGGCATCGACTATTTCAACGATTTCAACCAGACGACAGGTGGAGGAGGGCTGGCGTCCAAGACAAAGCGTCGCCAGCTCTATAATGTGCAGGATATGTACGACGGCGAGGACGATGGCAGTCAGACGCAGAGTAGCGAGCAGAGCACCGACATCATTGTCGTGATGGGCCACTATGTGGAACGGGTGGTCAACAAGGGCGTGGGCCTGGCCATAGTGCGTGGCTTATGTCGCCTGGTGCTGCGCGGCCACCTCGACGATAGGCCCGAGGTGCTCGAGCAGCTGCTCAAACGTTACTTCAATCCGAACACAGAGCCCGTCATCAGCCAGGTCCTGGGCATGTTCTTTGAGAATCTTGTCCGGCTCAAGAAGCAGGCCCTTCTGCAGCCCTGCCTTCTGCCCACTGTGTGGACCGTCATTAACTGCAGCTTCGACTCGCCCTTGAACGGCGTCCAGCCCGATCACGTAATCAAGTTCTTTATCGATCTGACGACACAGGAAGCCAGCTCCCCGATGAGCAACATACACAACAGGATCGCCCTGAGCTTCCTGCACTACATTCAAAACTATTTCACCGAGCGCAGGGAAATGTGTCGCCTGCTGGCCAAGGAACTCACCAACCTCACTGTAAACGTGTTCAACGGACGGGAAATCAAGACTGAAATGTTGGAGATGGCGGACAAACTGATCACGGTTAGAATTCATTTGATGAATGCGCATGGAAAAACCGCCTATAATCATTCGTTTTGTTCGTTTTTCAGAGCGAGTTGGAGCCGCGTGTGGTCAAGAATATTAATAACTTCAAGATGATGGTTGACGGAAGCTTTAATCCACCCGCACGTGAGGCACGCGACGAGCTGGACAGCGACGAGGAGTGCGACACTGCGACTGTGACTACAATGGCATCTGAAAATGTTGGGCAGCCAGAGCAGGTGGCAGTCCCCCCAACGCCTGTAGAATCTGCCTCCGAACAGACCCTGACAAATGCATCAGATTCACAGGCTGAAGCACCAACTTCCACACCAAGTGAAACTGCGCCAGTTGCAGAGCCTGTCTTGACCACTTTCGGCACTGAAAATCGAGTGGGACAACGTTTCCTGCGACGCTCTCTATATAACTCTAGATGCTCCAGTGATAATGCCACACCAGAGGAACCAGTGGAAACGGATGCGGCCGAAACATCCAAAAGAAATCTCCGTCGGCCGCAGATGAAGCGACGCCTACAGCAGGCATTGGCGAGATCTTCCAAGACACCGGAGAAGCAGCCGCAAGAGCAGGAAGAACCCGATAACTCAGCCGAATCTGAGCAAAATGAATCTCTGCAAAGTCCCGCCCGGACAGACAAGGTATGTGTGGAACGGCCTAGGCGCTTTCTGGCAACTGCTGCTGGGAATAGGAAATAATAAGCTTTCTCTTCTTATAGTCGGACACATCCGAGGTAATTGAAGCCTCGCCCACCTCCGAATCACCCAAAGACGCGGCGGCTCCCAATGCCAGCCACCTGCGCCTGCGCTCGTTGCGCACCAGATCCGCTGCCGTATCCACATCCATGTCAATCACTGCCCCCACAGCTAGCAAAGTGAGTACCTCGCGCCTGCGCATGCAGCTCTAGGCACTGAAGCAGGAGATACGCACCGCTAATCAAAGAGAGAGAGAGAGACAATGAGTGAGACGTGTAGTGTCTTTGCGAGAGTAAAACATTTTCTAGCTTAAGCCAATACTTGCAATTCAATCTTCATTAACTATCATCAAACGATAATCAAATCAACAATGTTTATAAAACTCAAACCCAAACATGTTGTTTCCTTTAAGTGCCGCACGCTGTTTTTTCTATCAATATAGAGCTTGCCCGTAGACTAAAAACCCCCGCGCCCCACACACATCTCTTCTCTGGTAGATCCCTTGTAGTATATCGTCAGCTGAGATCTGGTAGAACTAGCTTAATTAGCATAGAAGTCCTATTTCGCAATGGGATCGATTGGCCTTTTGATTTCGCTTAAGTTTTCTACACTTTTTTGTTGTTTTTTTGTTTCGTTTTTGTTCTCAAGGTTCGCAAGGTCCTGCATCTTGAGACGCCGCTGCGTAATGGACGCAAGCGCGTCATTAGACGGACGCCCTCAGATCCACGGAAATCCAGCCAGCGTGCCAGCAATTCGTTGGAGTCGCCCTCGCGAAAACAGCCTCGCGTTGATGAAAAGACACAGACGAGTGAACTGGTGTCGCAAAACACAAACAGCCCCACGGACAGCACGTCCTCGGTGAAGGAGAACCGAGTTCCAGTGATTACCAGAGCTCCAGAATCGCAGTCAGAGGCAGAATCCGTGTCGGAATCGGAGCCATCGACCTCCAGGCAAACATCGACGAGGAGCTATTTGTCCCGCACCACCACCACAAGTACCCCCAAGGTGACAACACGCCATGCGGCACAAAAGGAGAGGCTCAACAGCATGTGCATGACACGCAAGAGGATGTCCCTCGAAATGAATCTGAGCGGCGGACAGCTGAAGGTGTCCACGCCCAAGCGTATAACGCGATCCGTAGTGTTGCCTGCCACTGAAGGCGGCGGCACTCGCAGCAGCAGCAGGAGGAAATAGCTAATCCAATAATAGTCCTTTGCATTCTACGCTTTTCGTTCCTTATTGGTAATGTATGCGAGTTTAATGTGCATTGGTTTTGTGTATATGTGTAAATTAGGTAGCAATATTAACGCATCGTTGATTAATTTAACCCAGATTAAGAATAGATTTTTCCAAGCGAGCACTGCACGGGAAAATGCTCAACGCTCTTGCAATGTTGGCTCGAAAGAGCGTTCACTGTAACGATTGTTAAATGTAATAATAAAGTTTTCTACTTCATATCCGACTGGGCTGTGTTTCCTCAGACAATGGGGCTTATAAAAAAGTTTATAATTTATTGAAAATATCCATAAAGAGGTGTGTGTATACGCGTAAATGTATGTTGATGTTGGTCATGATCTGCATGCAGCAGGCGGCGCATGGATGAATAAGTACATGCTGAGATTCGAGCGATACCTTTCGGAGCAGTAGAATAATGAAGGAAACGTTGTATCAATTGCGAGCAATGAGCAGTGCTTGAGTTTGGGATCGAGTTCTTAAGGCTACAAATGCTTAGGATGCGAGTTGAATTGGAAACAAGGACTGCTAGGTTAAGGCCACGGCGATCGTTTAGAACAAGTAAGGAAAGTAAAGGATGGGGATGTATCTATAGTTTAGGGCCATTCAGTTTGTGGGCCGTCGTGTGCAGATCCCATTCGTACTGCTGCAGGGCCTCGAACGAGGCCTCCAGGCTGAGATTGGCCTCGCTGACCAGATTCTGCAGCTTTATCAGCTTGATCGACTTGTGAACGTCCCAGTTGATGAACTCCAAAGCGCCCAGGCATCGGTTGGGCGTGCTCTGTAAGAGATAATCGGAATTGGGATTCCAATTGCTTTTGCAAAATGAAAACTAGATACTCACATCCTTGCCCAGCACTTTCACCATTATCCGCACTTCGTCAGAGTCCACGCCCCGCTCGCATCCTTTCGGCTTCTTGTCGGAGAACTCCAGCAGATCCTCGCAGCTGACAGAGTTCGAGTCGGCCAGTCGCGCTGCCGTGGCTGCAAAGTACTCGGCCTCGGTTTGAGGTTTGCCAGAACCGCTTCCTCCTTGACTCCCAGAAGCGCCAGTCTCGCTAATGGAGCTGCGACTCATGGCCAGATTGACTGAGGCTCTTACCTTCTTGAACAGAGCATTCCCTGCCAGCTCGTTGTCCGCACTGGAAGCGCGACGACATGTCTCCTGGGCGACATCTGCTGTCGCATCCTGCTGGCCCTCCTCCGACTCGAGCGCACTGGAGCTGGTTGCCTTCCGGCCGCTCTCAATGTCCAGATTTCGCAGCTCATCGTCGTTCACATAGAGGCCGGAACGACTAGAGATCTGGGTGGCTTCGAACTCCGCATCCTTGCCCTTATTGTAGTGCTCCTTTTGAATGGAAAAGTTGTAGAAGCCATCAGTGACATCGGGCGACTGCAGCGCGCTCTCCTTGCCGGAGTCAGCCTCCAGAATAGACTCGAACTGCAGCGATGCCGTGTCGGTCAGACCAGCTGCATCGGCAGGTAGTAGCTTGTCCAGGTTCTGGTAGGTGTGAGCGGGCTCGCTACCCACGGCCGGCATGTTCTCGTATTCCCTGTCTGAAGGGCGCACTTGGCGCCTCAAACTGCAGGGTCTAACGGCGGCCACAACCTCGATGGACCGGCCTGGCTGCGAATTCTGATGCTGGCCCGAAGCTAAAGAACTCCTGCCTGCCTCTTCGCTCGACTCCCCAAAGTCAGCCAGCTTGCTGAGGGTCCGCTGCAGGCCGTTGGCCGGAATAATCAGCGGATACTTTCGCACGTGCCTCTTGGTGCTGGTCTTCACCTGCTTCTTGCCCTCGCGCGGCGGCAGGGGAATGGGATTCGGATTGGCTGCCTCCGTTGTTTCCGCTGCGTCTGGGAACTTGTAGGTGCTGTGGCTCATGTAGCTGGGACTCTCGCAGGCCTCCAGCGAGTTGGAGTTCTCGTCGTTGTGCCTGCCCAGCGTGGCGGTGGCCAGTTCCATCTTGCGCACTCGCTGCGCGGCTCCACGCGTGGGCAGAGTCATGGGTCGTGCGGCTTGGTGCAGGCTCTGCAGGTCGAACTCGTCGGTGTCCATGTGCCGCAGCAGGGTAGCAGCCGGACTGGGTCCGATGTCCAGCATGCCCTTGCGCTCGATCAGACTGTTGTAGGCCTCGAGTCCCTCCTTGCCAATGAGCTCCTGTGTGTGCGCGCGGGGAGAATTCAATTCGATGAAAATTATACAAAATGATAATTAAAATGAAAAAAAATGGAAAAGGAAGGGGTAGGATAGTTAGAGATTTAGAGGTGCATTGGCGGGGTAGGGTTGGGGCTATGGTCCGGCAGTGGTTGTTCTAAACGACCCTCGGAAGTGCGACCCCCGCATTGAATTTCACATTTAGTTTTCGTTTATTGAATCCCTTTAAATATGCACAACATTTTTCTTTGTTTTTGATTACCAATTAACTTGTTTGGTTCTTGGAATCCAAACAAACTCAAACTCTTTGTTTTCGATCGTTTCAGTTGGGTTTTGTTTCGCTTCGGGAATTTGGGGATTTCGGTTCTTGTATAATATTATAATACTCGAGTATATTTTGTTTTGTTTTGTTTTTTGGGGTTGAAACGCTTTAAACGCATAGTTTAGAATATCATTTATATCATATAGTATGTATATAAGTGGTATACACATATGTATATAGTTTTTAGGTTGATTTAGATTTAAATTTAAGTAGGTGTATATATAATCTGTATATGTATATATATATATCTCGTATAATATTATCGATTTGAGTTCATAATCCATAAATGCATAGAATGCGAAAATCTTGTAATAAGTAGAATCCATATAATGTACGAGTAGGTTCTTAGTGAGGTTATCAAAAATCTTGGACATTTATATCCATTCCCATGCATTTAAAGTTAATTTTTGGTTGGTTTTTTTTTTTTAGGAGTTTTCTTTGGGTTTTTTTTTTTTTTTTTGGTAAGTTTAGTAGGCAAATACTCCCACTTTCATATACGATATTTAAGGGGTTCGGTTTCGCATTTGGTTTAGTTTGTAGTTTAAAGTCAGCTTTAAATGCTTCTTTTTTTTTGTTAGTTTTTGGGGGTTCTTCTCTTCTCTTTTGGTTACATTAAAATGCAAGCTTCAGGATATGGCACATAATATGGCTTTCGCAAGTAGTAGTACCTCTTGGTGTGGAAATTTTTTCGGTTGTCTTTTTGTTTTGTTTCTTTCTGACGATTGTCAAAGAGTATGTGTCTGTGTTGTGTGTATCGTCTAGAATTGTAGTCTTCTTATGTCCGTGTGTTAGAGGCCTGCATGGATGGCTAAAAGCCGGCCGCATTCGAATCAACAATTACGCGGACGCACAACATTGAAACAATGAGGCACGAATTGAGTGAGTTAGAATGTGGAAATGATTCGAATACCCACTGGCTCGAGCTGTATCTTAATTATTGCTGTTTTGCTGTGCGTAAGGAAAAGAACAAAGGCAATAATTCGAGAAATTTGAATGTCTTCTATAATTTCAGTCATTTCGATTTGCCGAACTCTTTCATTCAAACTCGCATCACTGAATGCCAAATGTTGTGAAACATTAATCATTCCGTTGGACTTATGTTTGTGTGAGGCCACGCAGATCTCTAGTGTTTGTGTGTGTGTGTGTGTGTGTTTGACTTAATAGTTATCTCTCAAAAGGCTCGAAAACAATTGAAGAACCCATTAGTAAGTGGTAATTGGTAATACCCTGTTGTCTAGTAGGAGGTAACTCTACCTCAGTGAGTATATTTTTCATTGTGTGACTAGCTTTGCCTTGACTTGTAATACTGTTTCCGACAACCAAAAGCTCTTGTTGGGGCTTCTCAAAATATAAAAAAAAAAAACAATATCCTTTTCAGTTTCCGTTTTCCTATTCGATTTGGAAGCCAAGCCTTTTCGTTACTCTTTGTTTCGAAATATTGGTTTTTGGTTTAGTAATTCTCTATTTCCTGTTTCTTCGAAATATTGTGTGACGTGAATCGGTGAATCGATGGAAGCGATCTCTTGATCTGATGATTTTGTAGGCGCTGGGCAGCGGTGGGCAGGATGTTTGGTAGCAGTCCAATAAAAATCCTTATCAGCGAAACTCGAATCGAGCATCAATCAAGGAGCTCACTCAGAGCAAGGACATGCCCACCGCTTAATTATGATGATGCGCTGGATAATGCAATGGCCAATGGATAATGGAGTGGAATGGAATGGAATGGAATGAAAGCTAGTATGTAATGTATGCTGCTAGTTCTGCTGCTCTGCACATTATTATCTGTTCTGAGAGGTCTTGCGGTGTTTTCCTGTAAGGCACACTCTACTCTCATTCATCTCGACTCAAAAAATTCAAATTCCAAAAAATATACGTATCTATCGCTGTAAATATATCATCAATTTACTTGCCGCTCCTTCCGGACCGCTCCACGAACCAACCGACCGACCGACCGCCCATCTTTTCTATTCTTCTTTTCCACCCACCCACTCACACACACTCACTCACTCACACACATACACACGCAGACACTCAACACACTGACACTGACACATACACGATACACTGCCCCCCACTTCCTTCGGCCTTGGATCCTGGGATCCATCCATTCCATTCCATGCCATGCCATCGATCGATCCTATAGAACTGAACTCTAATCGGACAGAACATTGCCAAACAGTAAATTGAGAACATATTTCAGCATTTTCCTTAGTTATGGGGCCGGGCTGGGCGGTATTCGCGGTGCATTGAGCTCCGACTCCCGACGAAACTGAAACTCGTCGCCGCTCTCTGTGCTCGAGGAAGAGGAGCTATCGCTGGTTCCTGCTGCCCCTCCGCCTGCTCCCCCGGCGCTTATAAGCGGCACCGTCGCAAGCAACTGTTGCTGCTGCTGCTGCTTCTGTGGCTGCTGCTGTACCTGCCTCCAGTGCATCTCGTGCTGCTTCACCGCCGATGCGTGTATCTTCTCTGGCCAGTGGAATTCCGTGGGCCGCTGGTGCTTCGGATTCGGCTTCCCAGTCGTCCCAGGCGTCAGCAGAGAGCCCGTCGATAGCTGTCGCTGCTTGAGCTCCTCCGGGGAGCTTCCCACGAAATTTGTTGATGTGGGACTCTTGCCCGTGAGCCGGCTAATGTCGAACTCGTGGAGGGCAGCCCCCCCACTCATTGGCCGCTGCAGGACGATTCCTCTACCGGTGCCGGTGCCGTTGCCCGTAGGTCTGTAGGTGGCATGCGCGGCCGACGAGGCCGCCGATGA